TGTGTATGTTTATGTAGTATGTTGGACTAGTTTAAGTGTTTATGTAGTTAATAAAGTCTTACTTGTATCACACTTGACGTTGTTCATTGTTTGCTCATAACTGGAGTCACTTAATCATGCAGATTTATGCTACAAGCTCTTTGTAGAATTGTACAGTAAGAAAGTTATTTCCCTTAACCAGGAAATTAACGTTCTTAGAATTGACAGACAGTTGACCCTGAGAGGTCAAGTAAATATCTACAGCGGATCTAAATATTTATAATTAATTATAACTAGTTATGATTAATTATTCATATTTCCCTTATGAGATGATTCGCTACAAAACGTTTGTCTTTCTGTGGCTCTAATAATGTATGGCTAATATAGATTGCACGTTCTCTTTCTGTTTGCTCTGTTTTTAGACACCGAACACATTGTTGATTCTTCAAGCAAACATGAGAACAGGTTTAAATGAAATAAACATTCACGTTTACACTTCAACCGGAGTTCACCATAATTAGCTGCGTTCAATGTCACGTTCATTTATTTATAAGGTCGATGTTTTCATTAGCAGTGATGAGTTTGTGGTTGATTTCAACTGCACGCAGCATCAGAGGCACGCTCTTTCATTTGCATTTAGTCATTTAGCAGACGCTTTTATCCGAAGCGACTTACAAATGACGACAATAGAAGCAATCAAAATCAACAAAAGAGCAATGATATGCAAGTGCTATAACAAGTCTCAGTTAGCAAGTTTTTTAAATTTTTTTTATTATATAATAAATACCTTTTATCATCCTAATGGCTTTAATTACAAATAAGAGTACAGTATGACAATTATCAAATGACTTTGAATTATGATACTTTGCTTTAGGTGGTTGCCGGGATTTCTTATCTCATCAGCTTGCAATGTATCTACTTGTTAACTACACATAGTGTGCATTCTAACTAGCCCAGGCACACATAGCCATAGGCCACTAGTTTTAAGCCGGTTGGCATGGTAGCCAAAGCTCACATAGTCATAGGACACTATTGTTAATCTGAACGGCATGGTAGCCCAGGCACACATAGATAGTAACAGATAGGTGTTTTGTTCTATCCTGTCCTGTTTTCATTCCTTCTGCTCTTTTGCTTTAGACTATCTACAAATGCTAAATCTACAAATAGGTTACAACAGTGAAAATGTTTTTCTCATTTTCGTTTTGTTTGGAAACCGTCTAATCCACACATCTTTCCTGACAGGCATCATTGAACGGGAGATGAGGAAATTGTTCAGTGTTCCAGACGAGAAGGAAACAAGGTTGTGGTGCAAATACATGAGCAATACATTTGAGCAATTGTATAAACTGGACAGCACCATTCAAGACGCTGGACTCTTCGAGGGACAGGTGAGACAGTTTGTGCTTTACTGCAACCAGGAGCCCTAAGCTAATTTTCTGAGAATAAACAGAAATGGACTGGGTCAGAAATTAGCTTTTCCATTAAGCAGCAATATTTGCCCCTTGGATTGATTTCCAGGGGTATTTTCTTTTGTGCATTTTTTTTTTTTACCTTTGTTACCAATCAAATTGTATCCACATCAATAAAAGTCATGATTACACTGCAAAGGTGGAACACAAGCTGCAGCTGTCATGACAAGGTTATTTACACAGACTGTTTAATGCTGTTCAAAGATGGCATGCATGTATTAACAGAAGATTGCATGATGTTGTGTAATATAAACAGCCTACATATTAAGGTTAATCATTATTTTTTTATGTATATGAGCTCAACCGATATCTGTGTGATTGGTCACCAAAACAATGTTATTTTGGCAGAGGAGGAAAAGACAGAATACCTGTATTTAGGAGAATCTTAAGTTAATTAGTGAAATATACCTGTATTACCATTCCATTATTGCAGTGTCAGTGTGTTTTCTGATCAAATTAGGCTTAGCATTGAAACTTTCAGCAAAACTTCTTTCACACTTGGACAGTCCTGCTCATGCATGCATTGTGAACACTGTAACCTGTTAACGTTTGACCTCTCCACTCAGGTTTGATTTTATTCCTAGATCTGTTTTTCTCTGTTTGTAGGTGGTAGTTATTGAACAGAAGAATGGAGACGACATGTGGCCTCGTGACTCTTCAACACTTAAGTAAGTGATTAGCACGTGAATCTGAAGTATGGATCATTTTTAGGGCTGTGATGGGGGCAGCTTTTTAAAACATTTAGATTTTTGTTTTTCAATTGAAGTGTTTCTTTGTTTTATTTCTCAAATCTTTTTAGATAACTAGTATCAATCTCAGGTTTGTTAAATAGTTTGCCAGGTTTTCTTAGGTAAATGGAAAGCCTACATAAAGATGTTGTTCCACATTATTATACTAGTCCCATGCAATACAGGGCAGAAGAGAGATATTTCTGAAGAAATACATTTTGAATTAGTGCAATGTCTTGCAAAGCCATAAAAATAAGTAATATTAAAGTTGCTTATGTGTCCGGAGTAGGGAGTGCTTTGAACAGGATTTTTGAGGCCGATCACAGTATCTGCCGATACGATCACCGGTACCGATCTTTTTAAAGCCTTCTTTTTATCATGTACAATTATTTAAAGTGATGATCCAATCAAGATTTTTAGACATTTATTCAGGGCCTGAATTTAATTTTTGAAAATGAATTCCCCTCTTGGGTAACTCTTGTCAGAGGGATTTTTTAATTTAAGGGGTGGAGGGGGGCATTTTTTAGACATTTTTCGAAAATATATATTTATCTCACCTAAATGTTTGATCATGCACTGCATTTTTGTTTTTACAATCATGCAATTGTTGCACAATAGCTTACACACAGCACAAGCCTGGTTTTGTGAGCTGTATGTGAGGTTCACACATACTCTGTTTGCAGTGCGTATGCAGTCCATGTGCAGTACAGAAGCGGTGCAGAAGCAGCACTGACTGTACTTTCACACAGGAATCTGCAACTGATCCGTGGCTGTTTACTATAAACACAACATTTATCCATTATTTTGATTTCAAATCCAAACATTGTTACTTAAAATGCTTTTTCAGCATTGTGATTCTTTTTTTACACAGTACAGTATAATACAATCTTTCACAGACATGTTTAAACGCAATAAATATAAGAAACACATTATTCAATGATTTTTACTTCTGCATGTACTTATATATTAAGTTGCTCAAGCAAGTGGCAAAACATTTTAACAACTTTTCTTACATTATCACAAACATTCTAACTTAAAACTTACCACTGACAGTCTCTACTGCCTTTTCTTTTGCATTTAATTCTTTATTTCAAGCAATCCTGCGGTTCATAAAGAACTTTGTTTTCCTACCTCCAGGAATGCCATCTATTATTGTCTTGTTTATCTAAAAGTGCTCCTTTCCTTTAAACCTAGCCAAAAAGCCATAGCCTATGTGTTGACTGAAACACAGTAGACTTTAATTATTTGCATTTATGGTATAATTACTAAATTTTCGTGTCAATCCATGTTCATATTTACCGCAAACAATGCGCTGTTACTTTAATTCAGCGCTTGCAGTGCAGCAATAGACTCGGTGCGGAAACGATCTCTGCACTGCTGCAGACACGCCGCTACTGGAACGCACTGCCGGGTGCAGTGTGAACGTTTTAATTCGTTAACATGGCCGGGGAAAAAATACGCACCACGTATGCACTGCAAACAGAGTAATGTGAAATAATTATTTCACCCGCACCGGAGACTGAGCCGGTGCATGTCGTGCCACACCTCTCACGGGTCACGGCAGCGTCATCAGCTTGAGATCGTTTTTTTGAGATCGCCCTTTTTAGAGACCGCCGATCAAACATCCCAACGTGATTATCGGCCGATAGTGATCGGTAGCCGATCAATCGGAGCACCCCTAGTAAATTTTCAACAAATGTTTGTTTATTTTTTTGGGGTGAACTATTCCTTTAAATAGACAATGTTGGCATTGTCAAACAAAGACTGGTAATATAATAGCATAAACTAACAGGTGTTTTGATTGCTGACTGGATCCTGCCTCCTCTTGGCATATGCTCGAGGTTCCCAATGCTTGTGTTTGCAGGTAGGGTCCAGGGAGCATCGTTTCTTTAGGAAGCGTTTGTATTCAGTCTCCAGTTCCTCAATATGCTGACAGAACTCATCTATCTTCCTGTCTGGGTAGTGAGATAACTGCGACTGCTGCAAAATACAGATGCAAAGCTGTAAATATTCACAACTACTATCAGCTATCAACAAATCGACAGATAAAAGTCTTCTCCTACCCAAATGTGTGAGACTCATGATCAAATAAACCATACATTCCACTCTTCGGTTTGTGCATGACATGCAATGAATGTGCAAGATCAGTATCAAACACTGAGGCTGTATTTGTACAGCCACAAGGTTCATCTAATATAACTGACATAGTACACACATTTACATAGTTTATGCACACTGGCTTGACTCAGTTGATGGCATTTAAAATCTTCATATTATCTATCTATCTATCTATCTATCTATCTATCTATCTATGTGTGTGTGTGTGTGTGTGTGTGTGTGTGTTTGTCCAAATTCGTTCTCTGCCAGCAGGAGGCGCTTTTGGAGCGACAGAAATAGAGGTTTGCCCGGTATTGGCTGTACACAAAGCAGTGCTCCGCTCACAAAAGCTGCTTTATCAGGCATTACATGCAAGATCAAATGAAAATGACATCGAAAACGTTCTGAAGACAGTCAGTTTCCTTCAGAGATACAGTGATATAAAAACACTCTTGCTGCGTTTTGATTTTGAAACATGCAGTGCTCCTGTTTATTCAACAAAGTCAAAGCCTTTTGCGGGCTGCCACAAATAAATAAATGTATGGGAAACACTGCTTACTGAACTGTAAGGCTTCAAGCTTATTACCATGTTAGGACTTAACCTCTTATCTGGCCATCATAGGTCATCATATCCAGTGTTGCGGGTAACACATTTCAAGTAACGCAAGTTACGTAATCAGATTACTTTTTTTCAAGTAACTAGTAAAGTAACACATTACTTTTTAATTTAGAAGAAAATATCTGAATTACTTTTTCAAATAAGTAATGCCTGTTACTTTGTTTTTCCATGTATTGACTGACAGATCTCGTGTTGCCTAAATGTGAACCTGCATTTACTCATCTCACCTGCACAAAAACAGATTCGGTATTCCTTAAAATGGATAAAAACAGTCAAATGCAAACTCAGAATATTATACAAACCTCTAATAATTAAAGCTGCAGTCTGTAAGTTTTGCCTCTTTGTCGCCATCTCTGTTTGAAACCTGCAAATGCAGGTTGAGTGTGGAACTGACAGATCTCGTGTTGCCTAAATGTGAACCTGCATTTACTCATCTCACCTGCACAAAAACAGATTCGGTATTCCTTAAAATGGATAAAAACAGTCAAATGCAAACTCAGAATATTATACAAACCTCTAATAATTAAAGCTGCAGTCTGTAAGTTTTGCCTCTTTGTCGCCATCTCTGTTTGAAACCTGCAATTGCAGTTATTTGCGGAATTATCTTCTATGCGTGGGTTGTGCACCAGCACAGGCCGGCTCCAGCATGGATAAATCTAATGCTTTGAGGAGGTGTGTGTGGCTGTCAGTCACCACACTGGTGTGGATACTGTACTTCGGAATCACAGATTCTAGCCTACGTCTTGGAAGTATGACCCAAAGAAGAATTTTCACCGGATATTGCAGTCTAAACAAGTAAGTAACAAGCAGGGCCGGCGCTAGCTATAGGCAGAGCAGGCAATTGCCTAGGGCCTCTGGCTTGGAGGCGGGGCCTCCATAACCGTAACCTAATACACTAGTTCACCAATCAAGACGGGCAGCGTAAGACATAAAAGACATAAAATACCTGTCACTCACCTGAAAAGGAACCAGTTAATATCGCTGTTTAAATGTGGTTCTGCACCCCTTGAATGCATGAAGAGACTGTCTGCAGTGATGAAAGAAATCAAACTTTCCTGCATACTGCCTAATGGCGCCAAAACGAGTGCATCCCTCGGGGGCTTCTAACCGAAAAGCTAAACATGTACGCAAAGAAAGCGCAGCTCGTGATGCAGGTATGTGAGCTATTGTCATGTATTTTGATTGTAATGTATATAATTAAAATAAACAGATCCTCATTCTGCCGATTCACATCAGCGTCTTTTGAAGATGGATCATTATTTGCTGCCGGAGTTCAAAACAGCGCGAGCGCCATGACACGTTTAGATTTTAATTTGCGTATGTATGACGCTTTAAATCTGAGCTGATCGATTGTACATTGACATTGCAATGCAGGAGCTGACTTTCAAAATGCTAAAGAAAAAGTTTATTAATAAAAACAGCAATCGCAGCTAGGCTAGAGCATTGTTTATTATTTCAAAAAAGTACCTCAACTATCTGTATAAATTCCGGTGATGTTTACATTATCATAATAACCTACTTCATATTTACATTTTCTTATTTATTTATTTTTTAGTTTTCAAATAAATTGTGCTGATGTATTTACTGAATAAATACAATTTAAGCACAAATACAATTGAAGAAGTTAACTCTTCTTTTTAGTAGTTTGTCTCTTTCACTTCCACTATTTATTTGGTTATAGTGCATATTTAGGGTTTCTAAATGCAATAGATAATATGACAATCTATGTTGCTTCAGTAGGAGGGGGAAATTGTGTCCATATCCAGCTAGAAAAATTGCATTTTACTCCTCATTTTACTGTATAGAGTAGGCAAAAATGTTCGTTATAATAGTGGGTTAGTGTGTTGAATAAATTACTGAACAAATTACTAAAAGTCCAGGGTGATTTAGTCAGTGTGTCCATGAGAGTAATTTCTAATAAAATTATAATCTTAAACTTGCTAAAGTTAGCATTTTAAAGTAATGAGAAAAAAACATTATCTAAACAATTGTATTATTTTATAGTGTAACCTAGCTAATGACATTACTTGTTTTAAACACTACCTTTTGTAGGATCACTGATGAGATTTTTAAAAACAAGTGGCGAGTCAGAAGAACAACAGGGCAGAGAGAGAGAAGAGCAAGAGAGTAGCCTTGAGGTAGAGAATCAACAGGGCAAAGAATGCGAAGATCCAGAGAGTGATTATGAGGAAGACCAACTACAGGGCAAAGAGCCAGAGAGTGT